GGGGCTCCGGGGGGGATTTGGGGGGTCCCCTCGTCCCATCCGGGGTTCCCCGGTTAAAGCTGGGGACGGGGCAGCTCCCCCCGGGCTGGGGGGGGTCAGGCTGGGTTTTGGGGGGTCCCCGGGGGGGTTTAGCACCGAATTTTGAGGTTCCTTTAGCCCGGGAACGGGGCCGGGCCGTGCCGGGAGCCGGCGGGAGCAGGGCAAGGGGGGGAACAGTCTCCAAAATTCAAGTGAGACCTTTTTTTGTCTTTTTTTTTTTGTTTTTTTGGGTAAAAAAATCCCAAGAATTATCAAAAGAGCAACTCAAAAGCTTAATAAATAACGAGGAAGAGGGGAAAAAAAGCACAAAAAAAGTCCTTTCCTATTCAATATTTAAATAAGTTCGTTTATAAAAAGGATTGAGGGCTCCCCCTGGGCGGGGCCAGTCGGGTTTTTGGGGTGGGTTTCTGTTTTTTGGGGTTTTTTTTTGTTGTTGTTGTTTTTTTAAATACTTTTTTGTTTTGTTTTTTTCTTGGTTTTTTTATAGCCAAAGTCAGTGCAAAGGAGTATAAAAGGAAAAAAAAAAATAAAAATAAAAAAAAACAACACAACCCAACAGTTCCATGCCCTAAAGATGGGAGGGGGAAAATTGGGGGGAAAAAGGGAAATTTGAGGTGGGGAGGGGGATTTTTCCAACCTCACATTTTGTGCTCGGTGTGCACAATATAAAAGGGGAAATTTGAGGGAAAAATGGGAGGAAAAAATCAGGGAAAAAAGGGCAATTTGAGGCAGGGAAAATTTTTTTTCCAACCTCACTGGGAGGGGAAAATTGAGGGAAAAAATGGCAATTTGAGGTATGAAGATTTTTTTTTTTTCCAACCTCACATTTTGCCCACAATGTGGGAGAGAAAATGGGATGAGAAAAAGGGGAATTTGAGGCAGAGGAGTTTTCCAACCTCCCACACATTTTGTGTTTGGGAGGGGAAAATTGGGATGAAATCAGGAAATTTGAGACAGGAAAAAATAGTTTTTCCCAGCTCTTATCTTGTGCTCAGCAGGCACGATGTAGGACAGGAAAATTGGGATGAAATTGGGAAATTGGAGGAAGGAAGGGAGGGATTTTCCCACCTCACATTTTGTGTTTGCTGAGCACAATTTAGGAGGGGAAAATTGGGGTGAAATCAGGAAATTGGAGGCAGGAAAGGGCGATTTTCCCACCTCACATCTTGTGCTCACCACGCACGATGTGGGAGGGGAAACGGGAGGAGAAAATCAGGGAAAAAAGGGGAATTTGAGGCTGGGGAGGGGGGATTTTCCCACCTCACGTTTTGTGTTTGCTGAGCACAATTTAGAAAGGGAAAACTGGGGTGAAATCAGGAAATTTGAGGCAGGAAAGGGGAGTTTTCCCCACCTCCCGTTTTGTGTTTGCTGAGCACAATTTAGAAAGGGAAAACTGGGGTGAAATCAGGAAATTTGAGGCAGGAAAGGGGAGTTTTCCCCACCTCCCGTTTTGTGTTTGCTGAGCACAATTTAGAAAGGGAAAACTGGGGTGAAATCAGGAAATTTGAGGCAGGAAAGGGGAGTTTTCCCCACCTCACATTTTGTGCTCACCACGCACAATTTAGGAGGGGAAAATCGGGGTGAAATGGGGGAATTGGAGGAAGGAAGGGAGGGATTTTCCCACCTCACATTTTGTGTTTGCTGAGACAATTTAGGAAGGGAAAACTGGGGTGAAGTTGGGGTGAAATCAGGAAATTGGGGGCAGGAAAGGGGCGTTTTCCCCACTTCACATCTTGTGCTTACCACACACGATTTAGGAGGGGAAAATAGGGGTGAAATCAGGAAATCTGAGGCAGGAAAGGGGCGTTTTTCCCACCTCACATCTTGTGCTCACCACGCACGATTTAGGAGGGGAAAATCGGGGTGAAATCAGGAAACTGGAGGCAGGAAAGGGGGCGTTTTCCCCACCTCATATCTTGTGCTCGCCGCGCACGATGTGCGAGGAGAACTCGTAGCGGTCCTGGCTGCGGTAGCCGCAGATGTTGCACTCGAAAGGGTCCCTGAAGCCGTGGCAGCCCATGTGGATGGTGAACATGACGTGGTCCAGGAAGAGCACGCGGCAGTGCTCGCAGCAGAAGGCCCGCAGCTGCTCGCCCTCCTCGTTGAGCACCCTCAGGGACTCCTTGGGGAAGCAGCGCGCCGCTCCGTCCGGCTCCTCCTTGGGCTCCTCCTTGGCGTAGGCGGGGCTGTGCCGGCTGCTGCCGCCGCCCGCCCGCTCCTCCTGGATGCTCTCGGTGTCCGTGGAGTCCTGGCAGCCGTTGGAAGGCGAAGCCCCGGCATCGCCGGCGGCGGCGCGGCTGCGGAAGATCACCGGGATGCCCTCGGCGCCGTCCTCGGAGGCGTCGCGGCCCCGCGGCAGCTCGAGGCGGGCGGGCAGCGCCTGGATCTGGGTGTACACGGAGCTGATGACCGGCGTGACCTCGGTGATGCAGTTGGTGGCCAGGCGGAGCGGGCGCAGCGGGTCGCCGGCGCCCAGCAGGGACAGCGGGCCGGCGTAGGGCGGCTCCAGGGCGTGCCCGCGGGCCGGAACCACCTCCACGTCCTTGTCGAAGCCCGGGCTGACATCGAAGGGCAGCTCCGAGAGGGCGAAGCGCATCTGCTTCTCGCCTGCGGGGAGAGGGGGCACGCCGCATCAGAGAGGAGGGGCTGGGGCGTCCTCGGGGCACCCCAAAATCAGAGAGAGGGGCTGGGGGCATCCTCGGGGCACCCCAAAATCAGAGAGAGGGGCTGGGGCATCCTCGGGGCACCCCAAAATCAGAGAGAGGGGCTGGGGACACACTCAGGGCACCCCTAAATCAGAGAGAGGAATTGGGATGGGATGGGGAAACCCCAAAATCACTGAAAAGAGATGGGGGACACCCTCAAGGCACCCCAAAATCAGAGAGAGGGATTGGAGTGGGATGAGGGTACCAAAATTTGGGATTTTTAATTTGAGGGGCTTCTTTTAATTTAAGGGGTTAATTTTTACTTTGAGGGCAGACATTTTGTATTTTAGGGGGTTTTGTTAATTTGAGGGTTTTTTCTGTTAATTTGAGGGGTTTTTCTGTTAATTTGAGGACAGAATGTTTTAATTTCAGAAGTATTTTTCATTTGAGGGGGGTTTTTAAATTTAAGGGTTTTTTTTTTTTAAATTTGAAGGCAGAATTCTTTAATTTGAGGGGGTATTTTTTAAATTTAAGGGGGTTTTTGTTAATTTTAAGAGGTTTTTTGCTTATTTGAGGCCCATTTTGAGGCCATTGTGAGAGGGGATTCCCTTTCCTGCCCCACATCTCACAGGGGGGAATTTCCCCAACTTTTCCAGCCCATTAACCCCAAATTTCTGGGGCTTGGAGCATTTTCTCTGGGTTTTTAGTTAATTTGAGGGTTTCTTTTCACTAATTTGTTAAGGGGTTTTCTAAACTGTGAGGGGAAATTTCTTTAATTAAAGCTTTTTTTTTAAAAAAAACAAGCTGCTTTTCTTTCCACTTGAATTTATATTTTTCAATTTGAGCCTTTTTTTGTTAATTTGAGGGTTTTTTCATTAATTTGTAGTTTTTAATTTAAGGTGTTTTTTAATTTTCTTTTTAGTGTGAGGAAAAATGTCCTTAATTAAAGCTTTTTTTTAAAAAAAAAAAAAAAAAACCAAATGGCTTTTCTTTTATTTTGAATTTATTTTTTTCAATTTAACCCTTTTTTTTGTTAATTTAAGGTCCATTTTGAGGCTTTTGTGTGGGGATTCCCCTTCCTCCGCCGCCCCTCACCTCCCGCCGAGGGAATTTTTCCATCTTTTCCATCTTACCCACAAATTTCTGCGGCTTGGAGCGTTTCCTCTGGGTTTTTGTTGATTTGAGGAAATTTTTTTGGTTAATTTGCTGCTATTTTTTCATTTAAGGGAGTTTTTGATATGTGAGGGGAAATTTTTTAAATGAATTTTTTTTAATAGATTTTTTCCTTTAATTTGAAATTATCGTTGAATTTGAGCCGGTTTTTTGTAAATTTGAGGTCCATTTTGAGGCTTTTTGAGGGGATTCCCCTTCCCGCGCCGCTCCCCCTCACACCCGGCCATCCCTGAGGCCGCCCCTCACTTCCCGCTGAGGGAATTTTTCCATCTTTTCCATCTTTCCCTTACCTACAAATTTCTGCGGCTTGGAGCGTTTCCTCTGGGTTTTTGTTGATTTGAGGATTTTTTGGTTAATTTCCTGCTATTTTTTCATTTAAGGGGTTTTTTGAAATGTGAGGGGAAATTTTTGAAATTAATTTTTTTTAATAGATTATTTTCCTTTAATTTGAAATTATCGTTTAATTTGAGCCGGTTTTTTGTAAATTTGAGGTCCATTTTGAGGCTTTTTGAGGGGATTCCCCTTCCCGCGCCGCTCCCCCTCACACCCGGCCATCCCTGAGGCCGCCCCTCACTTCCATTTATATCTTCCAATTTGAGCCGGGTTTTTTCTTAATTGGAAGCCTTTTTGAGGGGATTCCCCTTCCCGCGCCGCTCCCCCTCACACCCGGCCATCCCTGAGGCCGCCCCTCACTTCCCGCCGAGGGAATTTTTCCATCTTTCCCATCCTTTCCTTACCCACAAATTTCTGCGGCGTGGAGCGTTTCCTCTTGGTGAAGCTCCCTGCCAGTCGCTCGATGAAGGTGGGGCGCTCAGGGTGCAGCAACGCCTCGGGCACCATATCCAGCTCCCGGATTTCCTCTCCTGCACAACGCAAACAAAGGGAAAAAAAAAAAAAAAAAAAAAAAAAAAAAATGAGCGGGGCGGGACGGGAGCTGCGGGCTGGGAGGGCCCCTGGGAGCGGCTGCCGGAGGCCGAGCTTACCCCGTGTGTGTCCCCGCGGCGCCGGCAGCCGCTCCCGGATCCCTCCTGCTTCCAGCGGGGCCCGCTCCTGCCGCGGTGAGGGGGGAGAGGAGGCGGCTTCAGGCCTGCGAGCGTTCCGCCAGCCCCGCCATTGCCCCCGGGGAGAGCGGCTGGGGATGGGGCCCGAGCTGGGGGATTGCGGCCGGGGATGGTCACGGAGCCGAAAAACCCTGCTGGGGAACGGGCCCCGAGCCTAAAAAGGCTGGTGTGAAATGGCCACTGAGCTGGGGGATTCCGGTCGGGGATGGTCAGTGATGCCGGAAATCCTGCTCTGAAATGGCCCCTGGATGGGGGGATTCCGGTCAGGAATGGGCCCTGATCCTAGAAATCCTGGTCAGGAATGGGCCCTGATCCTAAAAATCCCAGCCTGGAATGATCCCTGATCCTAAAAATCCTGCTCAGGAATGGCCCCTGGATGGGGGGATTCCGGTCAGGAATGGGCCCTGATCCTAGAAATCCTGGTCAGGAATGGGCCCTGATCCTAAAAATCCCAGCCTGGAATGATCCCTGATCCTAAAAATCCTGCTCAGGAATGGCCCCTGGATGGGGGGATTCCGGTCAGGAATGGGCCCTGATCCTAGAAATCCTGGTCAGGAATGGGCCCTGATCCTAAAAATCCTGGTCGGGAATGGGCTCTGATCCTAAAAATCCTGGTCGGGAATGGGCCCTGATCCTAAAAATCCCAGCCTGGAATGATCACTGATCCTAAAAATCCTGCTCAGGAATGGCCCCTGGATGGGGGGATTCCGGTCCGGAATGGGCCCTGATCCTAGAAATCCTGGTCGGGAAGGGAAAAAAAAAAAAAAAAAAAAAATCCCGGGATGAGCGGGGCGGGACGGGAGCTGCGGGCTGGGAGGGCCCCTGGGAGCGGCTGCCGGAGGCCGAGCTTACCCCGTGTGTGTCCCCGCGGCGCCGGCAGCCGCTCCCGGATCCCTCCTGCTTCCAGCGGGGCCCGCTCCTGCCGCGGTGAGGGGGGAGAGGAGGCGGCTTCAGGCCTGCGAGCGTTCCGCCAGCCCCGCCATTGCCCCCGGGGAGAGCGGCTGGGGATGGGGCCCGAGCTGGGGGATTGCGGCCGGGGATGGTCACGGAGCCGAAAAACCCTGCTGGGGAACGGGCCCCGAGCCTAAAAAGGCTGGTGTGAAATGGCCACTGAGCTGGGGGATTCCGGTCGGGGATGGTCAGTGATGCCGGAAATCCTGCTCTGAAATGGCCCCTGGATGGGGGGATTCCGGTCAGGAATGGGCCCTGATCCTAGAAATCCTGGTCAGGAATGGGCCCTGATCCTAAAAATCCCAGCCTGGAATGATCCCTGATCCTAAAAATCCTGCTCAGGAATGGCCCCTGGATGGGGGGATTCCGGTCAGGAATGGGCCCTGATCCTAAAAATCCTGCTCAGGAATGGCCCCTGAACTGAGGGATTCCAGTCGGGGATGATCCCTGATCCTAAAAATCCAGGTCTGGAATGGTCTCTGATCCTAAAAATCTTGGTCTGAAATGGCCCCTGATCCTGGGAATCCCAATTTGGAATATTCCCAAAAATCCCACTCTGAAATGGCCCCTGATCCTGGGAATCCCAATTTGGAATATTCCCAAAAATCCCACTCTGAAATGGCCCCCGATCCTAAATATCCCGGTGGTTCCAGGGGCCAGGAATGCCCCAATTTTGGCTTTTTCCCAGGAAAATTCAGCCTTGCTGCAGCTCCCGAGGCTGGAAAAGGCTCCGGGAAGTTCTGGGAATGGGGGTTTGGGGTCAGGGATTTGGGATCTGCTGTGGGGGCGCGGACTCACGGCACCGGGATCACATTCCCAACATTTCCACCCCTTTTCCATGGATTTGGGATCACAATCCTTCACTCCCACTCCTTTTCCATGGATTTAGGATCACATTCCCAGCCCTTTTCCATGGATTTGGGATCACAATCTTTTACTCCCACTCCTTTTCCATGGATTTGGGATCACATTCTTTTACGGACTCACGGCACCGGGAGCACATTCCCAACCCTTCCACCCCTTTTCCATGGATTTGGGATCACAATCCTTCACTCCCACTCCTTTTCCATGGATTTAGGATCACATTCCCAGCCCTTTTCCATGGATTTGGGATCATATTCCCAACACTTCCACCCCTTTTCCATGGATTTGGGATCACATTCCCAACACTTCCACCCCTTTTCCATGGATTTGGGATCACAATCCCTCATTCCCAACCCTCTTCCATGGATTTGGGATCCCAAAGCCCCATTTCTTGTCCCCAGGGGGTTCAGGATCTGGGATTTTTGTGGGATTTCCCTGGGATTCTTCCAGGATTTTTCTGGGATTCTTCCAGGATTTTTCCAGGATTTCCAGACCCACCTGTCTGTTCGGGGTTTTCCTTTGGAGGCTTCCTTTATCCGTGGATTTGGGATCCCAGTTCCCCATTTCCCACCCCATTTCCTGTCCCCAGGCGTTTGGGATCCGGGATTTTTGTGCGATTTTCCTGGGATTTCTTCGGGATTTTCCTGGGATTTTCCCAGGACTTCTTCAGGACTTTCCTGGGTTTTCCTTGGATTTTTTCCCAGAATTTCCCTGGGCTTTTTCTGGGATTTCTCAAGGATTTTTCTGGGATTTCTCCAGGATTTTCCTGGGATTTTTCTGGAATTGCTCCAGGATTTTCCTGAGATTTTTCTGGGATTTCTCCAGGATTTTTCTGGGATTTTTCCAGGATTTTTCCAGGATTTTTCTGGGATTTCTCCAGGATTTTCCTGGGATTTTTCTGGAATTGCTCCAGGATTTTCCTGAGATTTTTCTGGGATTTCTCCAGGATTTTTCTGGGATTTTTCCATGATGTTTCCAGGATTTTTCTGGGATTTCTCCAGGATTTTCCTGGGATTTTTCTGTGATTTTCCTGTGATTTCTCCAGGATTTTCCTGGGATTTTTCCAGGATTTTTCCAGGATTTTTTTGGGATTTCTCCAGGATTTTCCTGGGATTTTTTTGGGATTTTTCCAGGATTTTCCTGGGATTTTTCCAGGATTTCCCTGGGATTTTTCTGTGATTTTCCTGTGATTTTTCTGAGATTTTTCCGTTATTTTTCTGGGATTTTTCCAGGACTTTTCCAGGATTTTCCCTGGATTTTTCCGTGATTTTACCATGATTTCTCCAGGATTTTTCTGGGATTTTTCCATAATTTTCCCCTGGGATTTTCCTGGGACTTCCCTGGGATTTTTTCCAGGCTTTTCCTGGGATTTTCCCAGGATTTCTGTGGGATTTTTCCATTATTTCCTGGGGTTTTCCCAGGATTTTCCCTGGATTTCTCCAGGATTTTTCTGGGATTTCTCCAGGATTTTTCTGGGATTTTTCCCTGGGATTTTTCCAGGACTTTTCCAGGATTCACCTGTCTGTGCAGTGTTTCCCTCTGCAGGAAGCCGTGGCAGCGCTCCCTTTATCCATGGATTCGGGATCCCATTCCCACCCTATTTCCTCTCCCTGGGGGTTTGGGATCTGGAATTTTTGTAGGATTTTTCTGGGATTTCCCTGGAATTTTTCTCCAGGATTTTCCCTGGATCTCCCTGTGATTCTTCCATTATTTCCCTGTGATTTTCCCAGGATTTTTCTGGGATTTTCCCAGGATTTCCCTGGGATTTCCCTGTGATTTTCCCAGGATTTTCCCAGGATTTCCCTGGGATTTCCCTGTGATTTTCCCAGGATTTTCCCAGGATTTCCCTGGGATTTTTCTGGGATTTTCTCTGGATTTTTCTGGGATTTTTCCAGGACTTTTCCAGGATTTCCCTGGGATTTTCCCAGGATTTTTTTGGGATTTTTCCGGGACTTTTCCAGGATTTCCCTGGGATTTTCCCGGGTTTTCCCAGGATTCACCTGTCTGCGCGGGGCTCTCTCTCTGCACGAAGCCGTGGCAGCGCTCCCTTTATCCATGGGATCCCCCCCATCCCATTTCCTGTCCCTGGGGATTTGGGATCCGGGATTTCCGTGGGATTTCCCTGGGATTTTCCCGGGTTTCCCCAGGATTCACCTGTCTGCGCGGGGCTCTCCCTCTGCAGGAAGCCGTGGCAGCGCTCCCGGTGCTCCTCCAGGCTGCTCTGCTGCTTGTAGCTGCGGCCGCACGAGCTGCACTTGTAGGGCTTGCCCACGGTCGGGGACGAGACTGGGATGGGGAAAGGAACAGGGAGTCAGGATTTGGGATCTGGGATTTGGGATCTGGGATGTGGGATTTGGGATGTGGGATTTGGGATGGGGGATTTGGGACCCAGGATCTCCCGGTATGAGCTGCACTTGTAGGGCTTGCCCACGGTCGGGGACGAGACTGGGACGGGGAAAGGAACAGGGAAATCAGGATTTGGGATCTGGGATTTGGGATCTGGGATGGGATCCATGGTATGGGATCTGGGATCTGGGATTCGAGATGCAATGGGATGAGATTTGGGATCCGGGATCTGAGATGAGATTTGGGATCTGGGATGGGACCTGGGATATTTGGGATATCTTCCGGTATGAGCTGCACTTGTAGGGCTTGCCCACGGTCGGGGACAAGACTGGGAATGGGGAAAGGAACAGGGAATCAGGATTTGGGATCTGGGATTTGGGGTTTGGAAATCAGGATTTGGGGTTTGGGGTTTGGAAATCAGGATTTGGGATGTGGGGTTTGGAAATCAGGATTTGGGACCCAGGATCTCCCGGTATGAGCTGCACTTGTAGGGCTTGCCCACAGTCGGGCACGAGACTGGGACGGGGGAAGGAACAGGGAGTCAGGATTTGGGATCTGGGATGGGGGATTTGGGATTTGGGACCCAGGATCTCCCGGTATGAGCTGCACTTGTAGGGCTTGCCCACGGTCGGGGATGAGACTGGGAATGGGGAAAGGAACAGGGAATCAGGATTTGGGATTTGGGATGTGGGATCTGGGATTTGGGATGGGGGATTTGGGACCCAGGATCTCCTGGTACGAGCTGCACTTGTAGGGTTTGCCCACGGTCAGGGATGAGACTGGGAATAATGGGAACAGGACATGGAAATCAGGATTTGGGATTTGGAAATTAGGATTTGGGGTTTAGAAATCAGGATTTGGGATATCTCCTGGTACAAACTGCACTTGTAGGGTTTGCCCACAGTTGGGGAGGAAACTGGGAATAATGGGAACAGGACATGGGATCAGGATTTGGGATCTGGAAATTAGGATTTGGAATATAGGATTTGGGATCTGGGATATCTCCCAATACGAGCTGCACTTGTAGGGCTTGCCCACAGTCAGGGAGGAGACTGGGAACGGGGAATGGAATGAGGATTTGGGATGTGGAAATCAGGATTTGGGATTTGGGATTTCTCCCAGTGCTCCTCCAGGCTGCTCTAGTTTGGGATTTGGGATATGGGATGTGGGATTTGGGCACGAGCTGCACTTGTAGGGCTTGCCCACCACTGGGGAGGAAACTGGGAAATGAGGATTTGGCTACACCCTAAACGGATAGTTCTAGACGGACACGGAGAACTGGATTCCTTTAGGATTTTCCCTCCCTCTCCCCCCATTCCCCACCGCTCTCCACCCTGTGAAAAACCCCAGGATTCCCCTGTGAACCCCAACCAACAACCCTGAAGCAGCACTGGGGGACCCCTCCCCACCAAACCACGGCTTCTGTCCCTCATTCCCAAAATCCCCAGCCCGTTCCCAAAATCCCCAGCCCGTTCCCACCGGAATGGGTGCGCAGGTGCCCGCTGAGGGCGTCGCGGCGCCGGCAGGCGTAGGAGCAGAAGGGGCACTTGAAGGGCTTCTCCCCCGAGTGCAGCTTGATGTGGCGCAGCAGGTTCCCCTTCTGCGTGAAGGAGGCGCCGCACTGCTGGCACTGGAAGGGTCGT